AAATATGGAACTATGTAACTTCTTTCAAGCTTCTGCAATAAGGTCCACATTCCTATAACAGAGCCTCAAAGCAACGCTCAACAAAGTAAATCCCTCAGCAAAGGTCCCTATTTTTAGAATTTTCCTCACAAAGTGTCTCGTGAGCCCAGATTGCCCCCGCGGAGATGGCATGCATATGCAACGAATGCAGATGCGCTGACCACTTTGCATGCATATGCGTGCTGGGTGGGAACCGAAATTAATATAGGGTGTAGGTAGAAAATCTTAATTTCACATGATGGTATTTTTAACCGACTTGCAAATTAGGTTCTTCATTTAATTAAACGATTTAGAACTTCATGCTGAAAATCATATCAAGTTTCAGTAATCAAGTCGTTTTAAAATTTCTTAGCGAATAGTGTCGCTTCTCAAACTAAATTTTAAATAAACAACTTGAAAAAATCGAACTGTCTAAGTTTATCTAACTTTATTTAAATCGTTTTGTTTGGTTTTTATGTGAAAATAACTGAAAAATTTCATTTCATTTATATATTTTACTGTAGAAACACTGAAATAATATTATAATGTTCACTATATTGTACAAAACTGGGAACAAGTGCGTCAATTAATATATTTTATCATTGAACAAGTAACAACTCTCTAACCACTGGACCACGGTCGTTTTAACTGATTGACTGATTTATGTGGATGGACTACTATCAATCAAACAAACATTGCACCCTATCTACCTGTAATTATGTGCTATTTTGAAACACCTAGCTACAGTCTGAAAGTCTGATACGTTGTCATTAAATTTTGTACACTATTGCTAGTAAATGAGCTGTCCAAATATTGAAATGGCCAAACAAATATTAGTTTTTAGTGAAATTATACTCAATTAATTTAATTCCTTTCTAATTGTGTATTTGTTTTAGTAGAATTCTTGGACAGTAAAAACTTTGATTGAATTTTTTATAATCCTAATTACTCTGAATATTGCTTGTAACAAGCAATTATTACTACAGTTATTATTTTAACTGTTTTTTTTTTTAAACAAATCGTGTCATTATGTCTCGTTTATTTAGGGTAAGTCCAGGTGCGTGTATATTAGGCAATTAGGTGGCTCTTAATTAGGATAACTCCAGTACAAGTAATGTTAGAAACTACTGCATTGATAATATTTATTGAAACGGCTTAATCTGATAATTTTATTGACATAATATTATTCCTCATTTCAAGTAAAAGACGCAATAGCACTTACGACAAGTCTATCCCCACCTAATGTACAGTCGCTAGAACATCACACAACTTAAATTTCATTGCAAAATAACACCTATCGCAACGAGATAAAATGCCAGAGTTTAGTTCTTGTGTTCTCGCCTGTACGCCCGCCTGATGCGTCAGCTGACAGCAATGGAGATAGCAACTCCCCGAGGGATACACTTCCTACTACCCTACCAACTTTGCAACCCGTACTCAATAACTTTTCAGCTTTAACCCCCTCAAATAGAGATCAGATTGGCTTGGCGAAAATATTTTCGGTAGAAAAGTGATGTAACTGCGCAATCTTACGCTCAATGTCACTCTATCGTTATAATGTTGATTGGCGGGGAAAGGGACGGGGCGACGCGGAAGAGAGGGATGCAGGAAACTGATGAAATTCATGAAGTTACCGAGTTATATTTTTCCATAGGGCGCGTCATGTAGGGTAAAGGGCAGTACGTAAAATGTAACGTAGTTGGAACTGTTTTGACTTTTGAACTGATATGGAGGTAAACGTTTGCAGTTTTATCACTTACGAGTAGGTAATATACAAATAACAGCGGATATTATGAAGTCATACAGACTTATTACTAATATTTGTACAATACGGATATATTTTTAATTTATTTTACACGTAAAAATCCCCAATCAGATTCACGCACGTAGCTGTAAAATGGCCGCCAATTTGTACAACAAAACTTCCAATTATTGAAACGGCGCAAAAACGTAGATATTTATTACGACTACTTCTATGTTCTTCCGTTCGCATTACTCAGTAAGCAAAGTATTTGTATGTATGAGTGAGTGATAGGATCTTTAGTAGCAGAGATGGTAGTGGGTTCGATACCAACTAATGGACGGAGGGAGGTTTACGACGGGGAAGAGAGATTGAATAGAGAATTTGTTTCTATAGTACTACAAGATGATACTTAGATAACTATTACTTTGTTAAGATTATCTTTCTATGAGTAATAAAATTTAGAAAATCGATTTAATGATGTTGGCACATATTGTATCAACCCAGAAAGGAATCGTAACCGTATCAATTCGAGTCGGTCAGTATTCTTTGTATGAAACTCCATACTGCAACGCACACTTTACGAGTTTTCTTTCCGAGTTGATAAGTCTGCTATGACCTTTATGGTTCAATAAGAAAGTGTTTCAGGTGTTTCATCTTATGGACCCCAAAGATACCGGAACCATGCCGTTATTCATTCCTCAGCTCTGACCCATTTTGGTAATAAATATTAGAGAGTAAGCGTTAGTTCGAGCACATATTCGCATCCGTCCGTATTTTTTATAGAAACTCCAACAGCTGACACATTTTTTGTATTCCTTAGTGAATACATCTGTGCTAAATTTCAAGTGTTTTAGCAACAGCCGCGCCCACATTGCTTTATCTTAAGTGTTCCCTATCCCTTGACATTTGGACTAAGTTATACATTATTATATCGCCTTTCATCTCTGGTTTCATTTTTAATTTACTTGAAAGGTCTTGGATCGAGCTATATTTGTGTGAGGAGGCCTTAAGACTATACGTCGCCGTCTCAGTACACTGCGCGTGCACACGTGACGTCTGCAAACAACAAACTAAAATCAAATGAACATTAATCTTAGGTTAGCCCGCTAACAATGCACTTTGAGTATTTATGTTAGTAATTTCCTGTCCATTTCACTTGTATTCAACCGATGACGTATTGTTTGACAATTAGTTTAATGGAGCGTCACATCTCGCAGTGTCGTAACTCAAACATCCCTTCGGCTGGTAAATCTTCCGAATGTACCTTCCTGGTTAGGGCTGACACAAGTTTTAGTTTAAACTGTACTTTTAATGTTAAAGTGCTTTTTAAATGCCTATTTGCAAAATTAAATGAGTTTTTATGAGTTTTAACTCAAGGAACTAGAGAATTGGACTGTATAGTGTACAGAACATACACCAGCATATCTCTCGGAAAAAACTTAGTATTCTCAAGATAAAAGTTGGTCGAATGACATACATTCAGGAAGGAAAGATAACGTCAAACCTAAAAAGAAATATTGCCATAGGTCAACTTTCTTATCTGAAAACCATGTTAAATTTGTAGCCCTAGCAGATAATATTATGCAGGTCCTCTAAGCTAAAAGTTCAACTATATGATAAAATTTGAAGATTTTATGGTAGATTATAAAAGAATTTTGGAATCGTTTTGGGTTTTTTAAACGATTTTTTGTAATTTTGTGGGAAAAATACAGACCGCAATGATATTCTTTGTTTATAAAATGACTCGTACCATCTCATTTGAAACAATCGCCCTCCCTTTTGTGGTTCTGGCAAAGGTTGGCCAGATCCTTTGTTCCAGCCCTGGCCAGGGTTGGCCATAAAGCCGGAGATGTGTACCGAATCGCTGGAGTAATGGCCTGTGAGTCCGGCAGGCTCGGGGGGCACTCGGGAACCGGGATGCAATCACACCGGATTGTAATCTAGCCGAAAAAAAACAGGGCAGGTAGGGCTCGAAATATGAAAAACAATTACATCAATTTATTTAACAAAAACATATTTTTAACCACAACAGAGAGCTCTTGACGTTCTCAGCTGATGGAAGGTGAAGATCAGACCAAAAAGGTGACATAAAAATGATAACAGCATGAGTTTAGCACATCTCTAGAAGTGGTGCACAAAAGTCCGGCAGCATTGCGCCTAAGTATACTTTCACAATTTGAGCACAACTAGCCTTTTGACCACCATTGCAGTTGTGCTATTGATGGTTTGTTATTAAACCACTATTGAGAATGCACTATTTTGATGGTTTGTTACAGCACGGTGTAACGAAGTCCTAGTTTTATGGGCCATAAAGCAAAATTGACTCTTGTAATAATTGCCGCGGCCGCGACGGATGCTCGTCGCTGGACGTCCTCAATCAAACGACGCTTTGAGGAAGCAAACGCCATGGGAACACAACTACCCCAAAAACAATAAATTAATGAAATTAAATCATATAATAAGACTAGAGGAACTCCCAGTAAAAATGCCCTTTCTGGAATGTGGTGCACGACTTCATAGTTAAAATAATAATTAATATTTCTGGTTATAAGTAGGTACGAGAAGATTTAGTTTCAGCCCCTTCAAAAGCAATAAAACTATTTTCGTTATAAATTCCTGAAGGACATTTGTTCGGTATACAATATTAAATACACGCATTTACTCAAATAAACAATACTGTATTCCCTAAAAATTTTAAACCCTCACTTGTGACGTCACTTCAAAAGTGCTCAAAAGTGATTGAGATTCAAATTTAACCCTTCATGTGTCGGACCTGACTGCATTCTCAGACCCACTGGTCTGAAGCACCCGGGACCGCATGTGGCTCTAATCGATTCAATTTGAATACCCCCGCAGTATGTACTTAAATGTACCCGAATTTCCATGGGGCCAATCAAACGAAACTTGTTCCATGTGAATGAGATCACATTTCCATTGTCATGCTAGTTTCGGGATCTGTGAAGTCGGTAATTTATACAGATAAATCTCGCTGAATTAGTTTAAGCCGAGTCGTTGGTTGCGTGTTCAAGTTACAATTCCAAAAAATAAATCGGGTTTATTCTATGTTAAATAAGACTAAGGACAAAGTAGTGAATTTCCACTATTTGTCAGTGTCTTTTATTATTACATACAGTCAATGATATTATATAGTTTTGTTTTTATATAATATCATTGCATACAGTAAATACGTTTACTGCAGCCGGAGGATCGAAAAAAAACCAATTAATTTAAAATATATTTAATTAAAAGAAATAAAAAATTACATGAAATTACTTTCTAAGAGATGAAACCTAATCGAAGTCGGATTATGGAATGACAAATTAAATTAAACAATATTGAAAGGAAATAGATTTGCGTCACAGCGCCAAATTGCAATATCGACACTTAGGTATTTTCATACAGAGCGCGCGGCTGCAACCTCAGCGATCTTCTAAGGGTACGGCTACGTAATTCCTCCCCTCTGAGAACGGCGACTATTTTAGCACGTTCAGTGAAAATGTTGCCGGGATGCCCTCTGGATCTTTCTGGATTGGTGGCTGTTGTTCATTTCTTGAAGGCTTCTTGTTACATTTCAGAATGTTGTAGCGCCGGCATGAGATGACGATGATAAGTGCAACTGCACTTAATAGTACTATGTAAAACGGTACAGTCGTGTGGTACAGGGTGTGAAGCTGAGCGTCGTCGATCTTGATCGGAGTCTGCATCATGATTTTGTCTTGTATACTATGTAGTTCTTGCAGGTTGATCGAGTTTAAGTTCATATGAGATGATATCTTGACTTGTCCTTCTACATCAAATGGTATCTCAGTCAGTTTGAGAGGCTGTCCTTTTACCTCATCATTGTCGTTTGTTATAGTGAATTCCGCAGTTTTCAGGTGGCAGCCAACGGGGATGGTGATGAGATAGCTTCCCTGGAGCGTATTGTAGTCTTGTCTTGAACAGATGAGCTGGACCTTGGTGGGATGTGGGAACGACAGGACATAATGCTGGTCGTCCAATTTCTCCATGGCTTCTCTCTTGAGTGTAATTGTTGAAAATTCACAGGTCTCCTTCAGGATTTGGTTAACAATCAGCTCCTGGATGCAGTCAGACTTGGTGCGTAGCTGATGATTTGCAGTGCTTTCACACAGGAACCAGTGGTTTAGCTTCGGACATTCTGTCTCTATGTACATGAATGCGATCTCATTGGTTGCTATGTAGGGATAGGTTGGGATAAGGGCCTGTGCATTTTTATTGGGAACTATTGATAAATGATATAGATTATATACATCCTTGGAGATAATAGGGAATTGAAATATGAATACTATTTGATTTTCTGTATAATATGAACCAGGTTTTATTATTTCATAGTACTGTCTTAGTTCAAGATTAATTATTCGATCGGTTCCATAAATAACTTTAAGTTTACTTATCATTGAATTTAAAACATCTACATCTATCATTGAATGATGTGTGCTAGATGCACGTATAAAAGCTAGACAGTTTTCTAATCTAATTAATTCTTGAGTTAAATCCTCAATATTCTCACTTACAATTACCAATAACTGAGCAAATTTCGCATACTTGATAAGACTGTTTTCTTTATAAGCATCACTATTTAATATTGTTTCGATAGTAGCATTAATCTTATTCTGATTATCTAATAATTGAGTTAGGATATCATTGTGTTTAGACATCCACTCCTTACAAAGACTAATATGATTATTGAATTCAGTTGTAACCTTATCCTGATTGCTTTTAAGAATATTAATTACTTTATTATATTTCTCAGCATCCGTATGATCTAAGTTACCGGTAATGCTTTTTATTACTGAGCCTAGGCCATCTACAATGCCTCTTTTAGCTCTATTCGGTTCTAATGACCTTAGTTGTTTAAGTACCTTGTTGAGTTTGTTGCCTAAATAGTCGATCTGAGTCTCGTACAGTAAGAATGTGTCGTTAGTCAGTCGTTGTTCGTAGCTCTTAAGTTGGATTTGTAGTGAGTTAATTTTATCCTCGATGTCGTTTAAGTCTACGTACTGGATGAATGTATGATGATGGGTCGTCAGTTTCATAGGTCCAAGTTTATGTGGTAGCAGTCCTGGTCCGTCATCCAAGCTCTCAAGTTTTATCTCTTGAGGTTGGCTGAACCCGAGGGCCGTTATTAACAGTATCCTGTAACAAATTAACCGCTTTAGGGATTCGTTTCAGGCGTGACTTGGCTACAGGGCCGCGTTTTTTAGAAGTGTATATGTGTATTGGTAGGTCTGCTAGAACTGTGTCTTGTGTGTAACGAGCAGCGGTTTTTTGACGACTAGCCAGAGGATTTTTGATGAAGATCTGTTGATCAGGTGCGTATTCTGTTTCTGGTTCCCGGTTCCGATTCCTATTGTCTATAATAGCAGTGCGGTTAGCTAAGGAAGAACTATTAATTAAGTCATAGACCTTTTTCATTTGCTCTCTATGGTTTTGAGTATATTGTTGTAGAAGGTGTTGAGATATATCGATATCCAGACAATCTCTTGGGTCAAAATGTCCATTCAATAGGTCGAAGGGTCTACATCTTGTAAAGCTATGGATGGAGCTGTTATAAGCAATAAGTGCGTAGGGCATGAGGTTTACGACTGGTTCTTCTTTATGCTGAAGTTTTAGAAGTCTGAGGTGTTCAAGGAGGGTTGAGTGAAATCTTTCTATATTTCCATTATCATTGGGAGAGTGAGGTAATATTCTATGATGATTGATTTTATGTAATCTTGTGAATTCCAGAAATAGTTGGTTTGTGAACTCCGTTCCATTGTCAGTAATGATGGTTACAGGTACACCATGGTGGGTGCAGAATTGTAATAGGGACTGGAGTATGCTAAGAGCTGTACCATCACGTAGATGGTAGGCTTGACCATACTTTGTGAAGACGTCTATGAAGGTTACGTACTTCTCACTTTGAACGGTAAATAGGTCCATATGGACTATCTCGAAAGGCTTCGTGGCAGGAGGCACGATGTTAAACTGAGGTCTGATGGGATTCCTATCATATTTACCTTGGCCACAGATGGTACATTCATTTATGAACTTAGTTATTTGGTCTTTCATTTTAGGCCAATAATACTTTCGGGATAGAGCCAGGTAGCATTCGTTAATACCGCGATGGTTGGTTTTACCATCGTGATAATGGCGAATAATCTCCTGTTGACGGAGATACTCTTTAACGTTCTCTATTTCAGTCTTAGTTAAGATGAGGTTCATTGATGAACTTTTGAACTTGTCTTGTAATATCGGGATGATAGAATACATTGCTAGTGGTGGATTGATAAGGAGAGCGGTTTTGACCTTTGGATTGACATATTCTTTGACTGCATTTACTACATCTTCTTCTAGGTTCTGTTCTGCTAATTGAATGCTTATACGAGTATGTGTATCGAAGGGTTTAGTGACAGTAGGTTTCCGTTTAACGTCGTTGACTACGGAGAGGCATATCTGTCGGTTAAATTTATTGAGGGGTTCATCTGTGATTGGTATTTCCAGGATAGGATGCTCATTACTGGTATGCGCTGTTTCAGTGGAAGAGTTTGGCTTTGTATGCAGGGTATCAGTTGGATTGCCTAGTAGGGAGTTTAATTCATCTATTTCTTCCATGAGCGATCTGGTGTCACCGAGGTGGATTTCAACGCGTGAAAGAGCGTCGGCGTTAGTATTGGTTTTGCCCTTTTTATACTGCACAGTAAAGTCATATTCACTAAGTCTGAGTCGCCATCTAGTCAGACGTGAATTTGGTTCCTTCAAATTCATCATCCATTCTAGAGGTTTGTGGTCAGTCAGTATCTTGAATTTCCGTCCGAATAAATATGGTCTAAAGTACTTTGTGGCCCATACTATTGCTAATAGCTCCTTTTCAATGGTGCTATAATTCATTTCACTTTCGTTCAAGGTACGGGAGGCATAGCATACTGGCTTATCTGAACCTATGGGGCCTTGGGATAGAACGGCTCCAATGGCCACATTTGAAGCATCGGTGGTTAAGTTAAAGTCTCTACTGAAATCTGGATATTGGAGGATGGGATCGTTAGTGAGTAAAGATTTGCATTTTTCGAAGCAATTAACGTATTCATGATCTAAGGTGATTTTTCTGCCCTTTTTAAGACACTGAGTCATGGGTTTGGTAGTACGGGCAAAGTCTGGAATAAACTTTCGGTAGTAACCGAGAAGTCCAAGGAACTGCTTGATTTCCTTCGTGGTCTTGGGGATTGGATATTTCTGAATGGCAGAAATTTTGTCAGGGTTAGGCTTGATACCATCCCGACTGATGATATGGCCGAGATAAGCTGTCTCCAGCTTCAAGAATTCAGATTTATCCATTTGAATTTTGAAGTTTGACTCTCGGAGTCTTTGAAAGACCTTCTCCAGATTAACCATGTGTTCTTGTAATGAGGTGCTGAAGACTATTATGTCATCAAGATAAACGAGACATATGTCATTCTGGAGGCCTCTGAGGACATTGTCCATCACTCGCTGGAAGGTGGATGGAGAGTTCTTAAGTCCCATGGGCATTCTGAGAAATTCAAAGTGCCCATGCTCGACATTGAAGGCGGTCTTTGTGATGTCCTGAGGGTCCATCTCTACCTGGTAGAAGCCACTGGCCAGGTCGAGGGTCGTAAAGTATTGACATTTCCCTAACTTGTCAAGTACGTCACTTATGTTGGGTATCGGGTACTTATCGTCGAGAGTCTTTTCATTAAGTTTACGGAAGTCAACCACAAGTCGCCATTTCTGCTTACCAGAAGCATCTATCTTCTTGGGTACAACCCAGATAGGTGAACTCCAAGCTGAGTCAGATGGTCTGATAATACCCTGGTCTAGCATTTTCTCGATTTGGTCCCTAACTTCCTGTCGGTGTACAAACGGGTAACGATAAGTTTTACCATGTACGGGCACTTCATCGGTAGTCCTAATCCGGTGTTTCACTTTATTCGTGAACGTTAACGCTTCGCCTTCTATGTAGAAGACATCTGCGTATCGAGAACACAGAGTGACTAAATTAGCCTTTTCCTCTTCATTTAAGTGTTCTGTACGTAAGCGTGAAATAACTTTGTCGGTGCGCGCCTGCGGTTGTTGAGTGCTCGTGCACTGGATATTAAATAATTCGGCGTGCGCTGGGCTATCTAGTGAAATTATAACATCATTCGCCGTAGGGTTCTCTATCTCTAAGTAACCACGATTATTACTAACTGTGGTGAGGCATTCGTGCACTATGCAGTTGCAAATAATCTGTTCTTTAATGAAAGCATCGCCGTCAGGCACATCTAGGGGAACTCTAATGAGTTTCGAAGAGAATGCTGGTATGATGTCTTCATATAAATTTACGTTACGCGAGTTAAACATTTTAATCGGATTTGAAGCTGAACGGGTTAGCAATTGCCCTTCCTTCAGGTCTATACGGGCTTCCCATTTACTTAAAAGATCTAATCCAATAAGCCCGTCAAAGTACTCGTGAAATCTATACACAAATAACTTCATACCATCATTGTCATTGAACTCGGGGAAACACGGCAACGTTATTGAATAATCGTTCCTGCTGGTTGCGTGTATGTTTGTAACCTCGAAGGGGTCGAAATTAAGAGGATAGTTAGTAAAATATTTTTCTACAGCCTCGGGGCTTATAAAAGACTGATTCGCGCCGGTATCTACTAATAATTTTAATGGGGGGTGTGCTATCTGAATATAAGGCAACTGTCTTTGGGTCTGGAGATTTAATTCTATTTTTGCCTTTTTAATATTGAATCCTCCTGAAAATCCTGCTCGGAGTGGCTAGAACCTGGCTGTGGTTGAATTTCCTCAGTCACTTGATTTTCATCAGTCGTGTTATAAAAAATATTATAGTCAGGAGTAAAGTCGGGTGAGTCAGTAGTATAGTCAGCGTAGTAATTGTACGCCGGTTCGTAATAGTCATAGTGATTGTAATACGAGTATGCATCGGCGGCGGCGGCATCGTACGGCATGCATTCATTAACGTTCATTTCGCGACTTTTGAAATAATTAGTAGGAGGCGGGTTCCCTGATTTGGCCCAGTCATGCCCTGTCAACATCTGGGTGTGAGGTAAGGCTTTAGGAGTAAAGCGCTGTACTCCGCTCATCGGTTGGGGAGCGTGATATTGAGGTGGTGGTGGATTATTCCGGGGTGGCATCCGGAATACGTGACTACGGGGGTTGTAGTTAGGTGGAGGTGCGGCGAACATCCTCTGGGTGTTAGTGGGCATGCGTTCTGAGAACTTGAATGGCTGAGGTGGAGGTCTCATAGGCCGCTGTCCTACAGGAATAGGCCAGTTAGGCACGGGTAATTGCAAATTAGGGATCCTGGGTGGCGGCACGAATGGGATAGGTGCCTGTGAGGTAGGTTTGGGAGTGACATTGACATGGGACTTAGTGGGTTCATTTCGCTGCTGTAAATATATAATATTCAGCTCCTCTTGTACGTATTCTAATGCTTTTTCTATAGTGGGAGGACGCATACAACGAATACGGGAACCTAGGGGTTCCTTCAGTCCGCGGACGTACGCCTGCATAGTAACCTTCTTATATAGATCACGTTTCGCCTGTACGGTCGTAGGTACCGATTCATGTAGAGTCACATACGTCATTATGGTGCTAAACAACGTTTGGCAATGGTCATAGAATTCCTGCGGAGTCCTATTTCCTTGCGTAGCTAATGAGAGGTCGTTGTACAAGGCCGTTTCGTCGCGCTGGTCTGAGAAATTATTAATTAAAGCAGTTCTAATTCCTATCCAATTTTCTGGTATCCCGTTGGAGTTGATGGTACACGCAGCGGTCCCAGTTATCTTATTAAGTATGCCATTCAATAAACATAAGTTAGAGAACTCGCTACCTTGTGAATTACTTATATATTGCGTTACTAGTTGATCGCAAATATTAATGAATCGTGTGAGAATATTAGGGTTCCCGTCGAATTCCGGGACGAGGCGTAAGGCCTTAAAGATTGTGTCCGGGTCGTGCGACATGTCTATATCTCTATTACTGTCTATTCTATATCGGCGAGCCTGTTTCGATTCAGTCTCCCGCGAACTATTAGCTCTAGGATGATAAATCTTGAAG